ATCCACAGAATCAACCATAAACACCACCAGCACCAACAACAACAACAATATCATTACTTGATATACGTATGTATAACTGCGAAACACATGTGCCGCCAGACGCCTCCTCTTCCATGTAACCGCTCATAATTTTGTGTAGTTGGGTTCCAATGTTCCATAGACAAAAGTCGTTCATTGTTTTGGATCGTCGTCGTCGTCATTCGTTGTGGTCGCTGCGGCTGGTTTGTGGTGCTTTCGCTCAGCGATCTCGTCATAGAGGAGTGAAAAGTAAATAACAACAATGGAAGCAACAATTTCAAGTAATATTGTGGTGGCGAAAAGAGCATCCATTTTATGCCGCACAGTGCATATAGCACATGGCAACAACAATAGCAAGAACAACAACTAAATAGCTTACAAAGCAGAGTCATTGCCTTACAATTACCTACATAGCACAATGGTGGTAGGCAGTGTGCGCCGGCGCAACCATCGCTGTATCTTTAGATGCGGCTGAATGCAAAAAAAAAAATAAATTAAAAATAAATAAAAACCAAGTTGTAAAACTAAACCCACTTGAGCGGGTGGCGATCGCGAAAGAGGCTTGCAGGCCGCTAGGCTGCAACTGTAATTTATAACATTCAGCCAACCCCGTCTCCAGCCAGTTATGTACATATGTACGTATGTATGTATGTAGCTAGTCAGTCAGCTAGCTAAGGCGCATTGCAATCGAGCCAAGTTATAAAATTTCAAATTTCATTGCACACAAAGGCAGCGCGCCAAAGTTAGACTCCAATTGAAACCAATTCGCATTTGTGTAGACACTGCTGGCCATTGGAGCTAGGAGACGCCGGAGACACGCCTCTATCGCTGCGCTGCAATCTAGTTCGCCGCTGTTTGCAGAGCCGGTGACGAGCGAGTTTTTATTTGTGCTGCTAGCTGTCTATGGCGCAACTTTTTCCGCGTTTGCCCAATATGCCTGTGTGGAGTCACCGATATGCAATTATTCCGCTTTGTAGCGTATACAGCTGATAGTCGGAGGATGGATGTGTGGTGGAGCAGATTCGCCAAACATTATGGCAGAATTGCACAATACTCTGCACTTTTTTTTTATTTATTTAGTTAGATAGATTTTGTTTTTTATGATGGGGAGAATTATTTAGTTAGAAAATAGATTTGTTTGAGTGATAGGACTACTAGCGGCGGGAGCACAGGAAAGCATACCAACATGTGTGTGTCTATGTGGCCAACTGCCGTTGGCTAATGGTGTCGATATTTAGTGTGGTGAATACAATTGTGTTCAAGAAAAGATAAACCATCTTGGACAACATTGATCCATTTAAAGTATTACTTAATATCATTTTATCGAGGTAGTTCTACAAAAAAATAGCCAAAGGTCCTAAAACATCCCCGAAAAGTACCTCTGAACCAAAGCAGAGCTCTCTGATCAAGCAGTTGTATATTTCATAGCGCCAATCTGTGTTGCCTTTGACCAAGTACACCACTTGACTGTGCCAGGGTTAAGACGAAAAGAGCGCATACAAGTAGCGAACAAAAGTAGTAGCGAATCAGATCGGGATGTGGTGCCAACCTATGGTTTTTGGAAGCACCAACGGGAACTCGTTTTGAAACAGAAAAATCAAAACCAAGATATCATCTCCTGTTTCAGCATTTTAAATTCGTAAGCTCATTTCAAAATAGCAGGATAAGATAGGTAATTTTCAAGCGCTTTATAAGCTTGCACGAAGTTTATTTTGCGTAATTGCGCACTGTGTTCTAAGGCAAGAAGTGTAATTTCACAAAAGAGAAATCACTTTATCCACTGTATGTTTTTATATTGTTAAAGGTCATTGAACTAAAATTTTGTGTCTGAATACAAGTAGCATCGTGTGTTTTCTTCGATACTTTTAATGAGTACAGACACTAGCTACGACGCAGAGTTAACTGAATATAAATAAATTGGCTCCTATCACCCCAATACCCCATTTGCCTTTGGTTTTTTAATTTACTTCCGGTTTGGTAAATTTTTGAACGGGTGAAGTCAACTCAGGGGGACTTTATTTATGGTGTCGGGGTAAAATGGTGTTGGGGTAAAATGTTGAGATAACGCGCAAATGTATTGGCCTTCTCTAAATCACCTTTTGCCCAATCATTGTTTACCTTTCCTATTGCAGATTCTATCAGGGAGGGTCTCTCTTTAATTTGCTTGCTCTTTTCCAGAGAGATAATTTAAAGTGAGTTCCGCGGAAGCCAAGGTTTCCTTAGAAAAGTCACTGGGGTAGCGTGAAATTAATTATGATATGAATAAGCACGGCGGTCCGTTTGAGTTGCAAACAGAAAGAAAAGTTTATGACCGAGACGCACATATCTATTTTCAAGTATACATACAGTGACTCGAACAAATGACCACGTGCTGGTTTTTTTAAATATTCGTAACGTTTTCGACCTAAATTTTTAATGTTATTTTTCTATAAAAATACCATCCAAGCATTAACCAAAAACATATAAATCACAGTTTATACAAAATTTAGAAAAATTCGGCAAATTTTCATCAAAATTAAAACTTTTTAATCTGAATCTTTAGAATATTTTTGGGTATGCAGTTTTATAGCCCATACGAAATTCTAAAAAATCTGAATAAAAAGTTGAAAATCTAGCTGAAACTTTGCAGATTTTTCATAATTTTTGCACAAAGTTGGAAATCTGGATTTATATGGTGTTTATTATATAATGAGCTAGACTTTTATGGAAAAATAATAAACATTAAATAAACAAAAGAAAAATAACCAAAATTGATCAAAATGTTGCTGGCTTAATTAGCTGATCACAAGTACAAGATATTTGTACAAAAGCAAACTTTAATTCAGAAAACATAATTTTAATTATTTTATGTTCTTTTTAACAGTCAAAGAAATATCAGATCAAGACTGATCAGCAAAAAATTGAGTAGTCACTTTGAAGTTTTGGTACGCCATAAAATTTAATTCTTATCTCCAAAATATACAAAATCGTTATCTGCTGTTGAATGTAAAAACCGAATTTTCGGGTTTCGGTTTAAAAGGAAAAAAAACGATTAATACCAAAATTATAAAAAAGATCGAAAAAGATTATTAACCAAATTAAAAAAAAAAACGGAGAATATTTATGACATCAGTCTTAAGCAACGCTTTTATTTCGTGTAGGCATTTTGATAGCCCATTAGCGTTCCAAATAACAATTTGCAAGCAATCGAAGATGTGCATGGTATATGTACATTAGACTGCATCACCAAAAAAAGTTGCAATTTTTCCGCCGGGATTACAAAATGTATTATATTTTAAGACGTCCACCAAAATATTTCGGATAATTATTAAGATTTAAATGAGCTGGACCGATCTGAAAATACCTCCAAAAATGGAGTTTTTTATGAATAAAAATAGTTTCTTAAAGAACTTTCTGAAAAAAGTCCCCTCAGATGACAAATCAGATTAAGCTTAAAAAATCTGCATAAAAATATTTAAAAATCTTTTCAACAGAATCGTAAGAATGAGATTTTTGATGCTGTGTTTTTTAACTTTTTCAAAGATTGATTTACGAAAAACTTGAATAACTGGGCCAAAACTATTCTGATTTAGACTTATGGGATCTCAGTAGAAAGGTATTTTCACACTGTTTTTATTTCTGTCAAAAAAAAAGTCAAAAAGATAATCCAACTTTGAATGCCGCTCGTTCATCCTACCTTTCTCTTTCATCCTTTGAATGAGTTTATTAGCAAAGAAATAAAAAGGGTGAGAAAATACCTTTCCAATGATATGTCTAAATCGGAAGAGTTAAGGTTCAGTTATTCAAATTATTCTTATACCAATCTTTGAAGAAATTTAAGAAAACAGCATCAAAAATCTCATCATCACGATTCCGTTACAATTTTTTTTTATTTTTTAAAAAAATTTTTATGCAAATTTTTTAAGTTTAAACCGTTTTGTCATTTGAGGAGATTTAAAAAAAAAAATCTTTAAGAAACTATTTTTATTCATAAAAAAACTCCATTTTTGGAGGTATTTTCAAATCGGTCCAGCTCACTTAAATCTTAATATTTTTCCGAAATATTTTGGTGGACGTCTTAGAATATATTAGATTTTATAATTCCAATGGAAAAATAGTACCATTTTTTTTTTGTATGGGGAGTGATGCAGTCTAATGTACATATGTATGTATGTATGTATATAAGTATTGAGGTTAGACAGCGACAAATACATATCAGCATTTTTTATGGCTGCTAATTAAACTTGGAAGTCGTTGCAATAGTCTGAAAGCCGAAATTAAACAAACATTATGGAAATATTAGGGCTGTGCGATTATTCGATTACTCGAGCAAGTTGGTTAATCAGTTATTCGGTTAATCAATTACTCGAGTAATCAAGATTTTACTAGAAATATGATTACTCAAAAAAATTAATTTTGCTCGTTAAAAGAGTTTGCTTTGGAAAATGCTTATTTTCTTTTTTATATTCTGTATATGAAAAAATATGTATGTATGTATGTATCTCATTTTAATTTTTGAAAACTGAAACGTTTTTTTTTTCAAAGTATCAAGAAACTTCAACTGCTTTATATGTATGTATGTAAAGAGTACTTTCAAATGTTGATTACTCATTTTATTCATAATGTTGATTAATCATAAAGCAAATTACTCAAATATTTTTATTTTTGGTTAATCAAAATCTTGATTACTCGAGTAACTGAACTTTTGAGTAATCATAATTTCTAATTAATCGAATAATTGAGTTATTTACTTTATGATTAATTAAAATTTTGAATAATCAATTAATCGCGCAGCCCTAGGAAATATATTTATAGTAAATTTCAACTCATTCAAAATCAAATGTCTGACTTTTTTTTTAAACGTAATTGCAACAAATTTAGTTAAGTGAGCTTTTTACACGACAGAGCTCTAAAAAGTGTTGCTTTTATCAATTAAAATTACACTTGAGTTGCAAAAGAGCCTTACGAAATAAATGAAATATTCATGAATTCTAAACACTTACCGTCCACTTCAGTTCCTTAAATCGATGGATGCCGTTTCACAATGACACATCCTTTAACTTTTAATCTTCTAAAGCTGTTTCAATGTACTTGTTTATGCATATGTGTATTTGTAGCTGCAAAAAAGGATTACGGAAAAATATCTATTTAGTTTGAGCAAAATTGAATTATTTATTCATACAAATACATCGGAGCAACAAAATCAAATATTTCATCGATACAGTTCAACTATGTAAGTGGCATGGAAAAGCAAGTAAAAAGGAAAATATTTTCTATGGTTTTAAAACAAAATAAAAGCCAATAGCCAATCAGCTTATCTCGAAGTTAGTCAACGAATATTTCAACTAATTTCCGGTAAATGGCGTACGAAAGGTATACATAAGTGGGTGCGTGTAAGTTTATGGGGGCGGGATAGTATGGTGTAAAACCGGAAATTAAAATTGATTAAATTTGTGTGATAAGCTAGCTTAATATTTGTTGTGGCTTTTTGTAATAGTTTTAATTAAAAGACACTTTTTTGTTGTAATTCTTTTTGGAACCTGATATTTAATTTCATTGTCGTTTTCTTTGTTGAAACGCTTAATATAAAAACGATAAATTTATATAATAAACGTTTTGCAGTAGAAAAAAGTAAGCAAGTTATTTCAAAACCGCTCGATATCAAGAATATGATTTTTAGTTCGTTTTGTAAACAACCGCTTATTAAATGGCGCCCGTATATCATTATTAATAAGAGTTATGCCTCACCGAGATATGTTTGTGTAGTTTATATGCCATTCATGACAGCTTCATTATCAAAGTGTAAAAGTATTAGTAGTAAGTTACTAGTGTTGAAGCTTTTTCAACACACTTTCCATAACAAGACTGTAATTTACAGAGAGTTGTCATTCAGAGCACATCGCAATACGTGTTGTGATTGGCTGAGCAGATCGTAACGTGTAATGGATAAATATCCAATCAGAGCGTTGTATATTCAAATTTGTTAAATAAGCAAATTCATACATATGATCAAAACAACAACTAGTAACATTCACATACTATAAAATATATATAGTCTATATTAGGGGAACTCTTAACACTTTGTCATAGCTCGTTGTTTTTGTTCATTTCATGATGTTAAATATTTCCTGGAGCTGATTGTTGCAACCACAAAATTTTACAAGTCCTCAAAAATAAATAAAACTTCCTTAAAAATTTGGGCGAAAGTACTCAAAGCAAATAGCATTTTAATAAAAAAAAAATACCACGAATTACGATAATGAAATAAATAAAAAAAATTCAAAATAATGCATATCTATCACCCGTCTATACCTCCCTCCATCTGGTTGAACGCAAACAAGTCCTTATGAACTCCTTATTAGTATTCTCAAAAATACAACTTAAGCTTAGTCGACATAAAGGTATTTAATTGAAAATTCATAAAATAATATTTAATATAAAGTAAAAACCAAATAGTGTTGCTACAATTGCCATTCATACTCGTATATTATTGCCTATGAATAGCATGTAAGCTTATACATATGTACATATTAAACAAAACTAGATCAACTTTCCAGTTAAGTTAATATTTTTACCATGACCGAATATGAATATTACAATAACGAGTCAATAAAATTTAGATCACCCGTGAAAAATTTTAAGCACACAACTTGTGATTCTTGTGAATATTGAATGGACAAAGAAAGCGATTTGCTATGGTTCGAGAAAATCATGCATCTCGTGAAATTGATTTAACAACAAAAGCGTTACTAGTTCATTCCCTTTTCCAATTTGGCACAAATAAAAGGCATTAACAAATTGCGATATTAACTATTTTACGGTTTTTTTATAAATTTCCATGCTCTTAGTTAATGTTGAGCTGTATGTATGCTTGTACGAGTATATGTATCTACAAGTACATGGCAATTTTTTTACGGTAGCAGTACGGCCATTATGTATTCGTACAAAAGTAAAATTTTATGTTTCGAACTATAAAATTTCGTTCGAAACATTTTATTTATTTTTATAATGGCCGACATTTACTAAGTTTAGGTGACCGAAGATTTTCTGTTACAAATAAAAGACAACAAAATTTTTCGAAATTGTGTTTTTTTTATTACACCATGTCCTTTCGATTATGGTTATAATGTTTGAAGGGAAATATACGTCAAATGGCAACCACGAGACTTTTGGTAACACAGAATGTGCATATCACAAGTTTCCATGACTTTTTCGCAAAGTTAGGGCTGTATATAATTTATAACTCAAATGATTCCGTTCTTAAGCTCTGGAATGGTATCGAGAAATAAGTACATAGGTGTCAAAGCGCGAGACCTCGGCAGCCATTTGATCTCGTTATTTAGTGAGATAATGCATCCATGCCATCTAACTCGGGCCATAGAAAGTATGTTATCATGTCGCGATAAAGTACACCGTTCGCCGTAACGGCGTTACCGGCATCATTCCGAAGAAGTGCGGTCCGATGACTATGCCAGCCCAAAAAAACGCCAAACAGTGAATCCTTGTGAGTTCATAGTTTTTCTTGAATGGCGTGGTTTTTCATGAATGACATGGTTCTTCATTTCCCACATTTGGTGGGTGCTTTTCTCACAAAGTTCACAGCTTTACCAATTTTTGACGATGAGTCCAGCTCACCGAGAGAAACAATTTTCGTTTTCGAGGTCTTAACGAAAAGCAAGGCTTATCGTGAGAAGCGTATCCAAGTAGAGAGGGCGACAGCGTACTTTAAATTTTACCTAGTCGGCTTGTTTCTTAGTCCTGTTTGCTGTTCAAGGAGCAGGATCAAAAGTGAGCTTCAAACTAATGTAGAGGCCACGAAAACTGCCCGACACGAGGGTGATGTCCAGCACTTCTCATCTAATAGAAATCATAAAAGTGCGATCGTTTCCACGCAAAGAATGATATCAAGTAAACACTCACTTCGGATGTTGGAGTAGCTTGAGCCCCAAATCGTGTGATGAGAATTAGAGTCAGCCCAGACCGGGAGTCTCTTATGATTTGTCTCATTCAAAACATCCTGCAGTCTGTAGGGAAGAAAAACTTGGCTGTTGTGGGCTTTGTATGTTCTTACCAGCCAGATCGTCCTCTCCCTTGACTAGGACGCTGATGCATACGGTATCCTCGTCATTGAATTGGAAGAGCAGAAAATACTAATATGCTTTTTTATTAAGATTGCATGCTCTGATTCTGCCTGCTACTGTTGCTGAGGCTAAGAAGGATGAATTCCAGGGCTGCCTTGGAGTGGTGCTGATTAATTTGTAGGTTATGCACTATCCTCAAAGGCGGTGATGTCCATTGTTTCTACTTCCTCCCGTTTGGGGGCAGCAATGATTGCGGAGTCATAATCCGACTAGTCCTGTTCGGAGACCAGAAGCTGGCCATAGTCCAGCTTTGCCCATCGTCCGTAGCCCATGTCGCTCTCATTATATATTGCGGTATCGGATACATTCGTTAATAGGTTCACAGGACTACTACCGGTGTTTCTGTGATCCTTGCGCTATGTACCATCGATGCCGAATCGGTTGCACCAGGTCCGCGGTAGGCGTTTCCGGTTTTGTTGGCCTATTCGTCGGTGAGAATGTCCTCCATCCTCCAATCGCTGATGGGTAGTCGGATAAACTCGAGAGTCTCCTCCGGCTTTGAAGCGCGTAAAGGTACGTAAAATTAATGTTTGAAAGGGCAATAATGTCAAGGGATTTTATTTCGATTTTAAAAAGGTAATAATGTCAATTGACTTTATTTTGCACCAGTATGCGAAATAGTGTCAATTGACCTTATTTCCGTTGATCCAGATACCTGTCACCGTAAAAACTGTTTGGAGCTTGAGAACTGTGCTCTTAAACCGTTTGCTTCTTTCAGTTTTAGATTATATTTATGTAAAAATTTTTAAATTTCGTACGAATATTTACCGTCGACACTATTGATGAGCATAAGTTAATAATTTTTTAGTTATTTAAGTAAAACCAAAAGTTAACTCAAGCATTTTACGAACACCAAATAACGATTCCAGAACACGAACACTGACACACACACACATCGGCCGATCATTCACACAACACCATTCTTTTACAAGAACACGTTAATGGCAAACATTTTGTTGACGGCTTGCAATCAGCATGGTTTTTTTTTTTTATGCCAACTTAAACGAACAAAAATGCTTAGAATTAAGTAAAAGGAACCATTTTCATACACTAACAAACAAATTTATGACGCGGTTTTCAATGGAAAAAATTGGTAACAAGCTGAAAATGAGTTATTTAAGAAGCTGTGATGTCTTATTAAGCAAGCAAGCAAGCAGAAGAGAATGGCAGAACAGCAAGGGCTACGACACGACGAGGGTGAGGGCAGGTGAGTAAGTGGATGCTGCGATAAGTGGAGCTGGTGAGCGTGCGCGCCAACAAAAAACGCAAAGCATCTTGTTGCCCAACTAAAATAATAATAATTATTGTTGTAATTACTTATGTTATTAAGTACATTAGTTTTAGTGGGCAATTTTAAAGAGTGGCTTCTTTAATGGGTTTTTAGTTCTATTTTCATTTCGTGTCTAATTTGTTGTTCTTATACATACATACATGCATGCCTAAAAGGTTTCGAAATGTTATATTTATGTCTACATAATTGTTATTTGTAGGAAGATATGCACATTAGGGTGCATCACTCTACATACAAAAAAAGGTCGGTACTGTTTTCCATCGAAATTAAAACATTTATTATATTCGGGTGTATAGGTACGAATCGAAAATCATAAAATTTTCCTATCACATTCAATAAAAAAATTTCAAATTTTCGATTCGTACGAAAGAAAAATACTCCTCATTCTAAGACAGCCGCCAAAATATTTCGGAAAAATATTAAGACTTTAAATATAACTCAAAAAATATAGTTTTTTTATAAATAAAATTTGTAATTTTTTTTTTTCAAAAAATCAGCTCAGAAAAGTGTTAACATTTTTTCGAAATATTTTGGCGGAAGTCTTAAAACATAGATAATAAAAAACTTTATAATTCCAGTATTTTTTTTCGGGAGTCTCCCTAATGTATGTACATACATACATATGTGACTTTTAATTTAATATATATTTTTCTTATTGCTGTAAGTTAATTTTCTATGGCGAAAC